CCTGCAGGGCAGCACAGAGGGCCGTGTCCCAGCGCTGCCCCCAGCAGCCCCATCCCTCCCTTCCGATGTCCCCTGCCGTCCTCAAGCAGCACTACCTGGGGAATGCTTGGCGTGGGATTCTGGCAGAGCTGGGGCGGCTCAGCCTGCAGAACAGGAGGCTCAGGGAGATCCCGGCACGGCCATCGGTCCCTGCGGGGAGATGCAAAGAGGACGGAGCCAGGCTGCGCCCGGCGGTGCCCAGCAGCGGGACCGGAGGCTCACGCTGCAGCACAGCAGGTTTCCCTGTTTGGCCGAGTACCTCGAGGTGGCAGCAGGACCCCCAACAACGGAAACGTCTGCCTCCAGAGCCCCTTGTATGGCTGGGATATGATGGAGGGTGTAATAAACGTAGAACATGCACAGGGCGTATGATTATCGTGACACAGGGATGACATTTTCATATCTCCTTTCTGTTATATTGCCAGATAGTATTTCAGTGTTAAGGAGATATGAATCACTGAAGAGTATTCTAGTGTAGTATAAGCCTAACAGGGCACTGTCCTGTAATAACACACAGAGTGAGCCTTACATGTTATCGTTCATTTTAGTTACCTAAAGCAAAGCAAAACATAGAAAACAAACAAACACAACAGCCCCTCTCCTCTCCTCTCCTCTCCTCTCCTCTCCTCTCCTCTCCTCTCCTCTCCTCTCCTCTCCTCTCCTCTCCTCTCCTCTCCTCTCCTCTCCTCTCCTCTCCTCCTCTTCCTTCACAAACTGCACAGTGGTTTTATGGAAAACAATTGGTTAAACTGCTAACCCAAACTCCTATTTTGTATAATTATGAGATGTACTGTGAGTCCAGAAAGAAAATCCCTACTCCAGAGACACACAAAACCACGGAGCATTTGTGCTGCTCCTTTAAAGACGAGCATTTCCAAAAGAGGGCACCAGATACACGCTTTTAAACTGCATTCCTGCTGCTTTCTTGAGTCTATTTCCCTCTCTTCTCCACACAATTTCCTCCAAGACAGATATGGACCGCCCTCAATAGAAAGTTCACACATTTTGGCTGGCATATGTTGTGCTTTTCGACACCAAAACTTGCCTTATCTTTGTGCTGGAATAATGTCTTTTTTTATTGAAGGTTGGCTGCGTGGTGGGGAATCATCGATGTTTCACCTTGTTATCGCGTTCACAGCCACAGCTGAGTAGCATAGAAATGGTTTTCCTGCTGGGTTCTGGGCCAGGGAGGGGACGTCTGTTGCCAAACGGGAAGCAGGGGCTGGACTGGGACGAGGTGCCATCCCAGTGTCACAGCTCATCCGCACTCGGAGCGTTGGCTCCTGCTCCCAGGGATGCATTGCTCTGTGTGATGCTAGGAGCGGGGACACGGCGGGGTTAAATGTGGCCTTCCTCTCCGGGCCGTTTCCTATTACCTCTTGGTCAAAGAGAACTGTGCAGTCCCAGAGGACTTGGTCTAGTTGAACATGACAGACCCAAATCATCTGTGGACTGACCAAAGCTCTGCAGGAAACCCCGTGGTTTGCTCCCCTTTGCTCTCTCGCCCTCCGTAAACAAGTCTGGTGACAGCTGAGCTTTCCCAGGCTCTGGGCCAACTCTGTACCAGATTCCCATCCCACATTTTTGCCTTAAGTCAGGTGTGTTTTGTCCTTTCCTCTGCTCATCTTGCAGCAGCCACGGCACCGAGCGCAGGAAAAGGCGCTCCAGGAGTGCTGCACTGTGAGTCAGGGCTCAGCATCTGGGTCAAAGCCTCCTGAGATCATGCATCTGAAGAAACACAGCAAAACAACTCTGCCCATCACAGGACAGGAGGGGATGCAGGGAAACGAACCTCACTCCTCTGATTAGATCCACACCTCGTGCCCACATCGGCTCAGAGCTGGGAGCGGAACGCTGTTCTGCTCTTCTGCTGCCTCAGCAATGGTGCAGAGGTTCATGGATACCACCGCGGCCCTGCTGCTCCAGCTGACATCCTCTATCCTTCTAAATAGGAGCAGCTTGTGTGCAAGAGGCTGTTTTCACTGCACCTGAATTCATTTGTCTGCCCAGAACTAACGGCAGAGGCATAAAGAAACGTGTTTCATCTCTCCCTGGGCGCCGTGCAGCCCCACTGAGTGCTTTCCTCTGAGCATTGATGCAGTATTTTTGCATGCATGTGAAATCAAATGCCAGGAGAACACAGGAAAGAAAAAAAAGTGAGTTAAGTTTCCTTTGAGAAAAGGAGAGAGAAGGGACCCCTTTTCCCCGAGCTGCCATTGATTTACTGTGAGGAGAGTTTTAATCGAGCCCTTGTACGTTGAAGCCCTAAGTCATTAGAGGAGAGCAGGGACAGGCTGATGACTTGCTGACACCCTGAGCTTTCAATGGTATTGGTAGAAAATGTGGCATTGAAGGAGGGTTCTTTTCTGGGGGGGAGTGTGAGTATTTTTTTTTTCCAGGCATCACTGCACTGCCAGATAATGTCAGATGGCAGAGAACAATGCGAATTCCCATAGAGATCTATAAATAACAGCCATAAATGTGCCTCATAAATTACTCAAAGGGTTATTTTCTCCCACCCACATTCCCTCCCTCACATTCAAATTCAATTTCACTCATCCAGTTCCTCACTCTGAGCTGCTGCATAGGAAGCTTGGGTAGAAATCTCTGAGCAGTCAGGGCAGGTCAGGGCTAGGGCTCTGCAGTGCAGATTTCCAGTACTGCAGGCACAAAGCAGTGTTGCCAGGAGGGTTCCACCTAAGGCCAGGTCCTCATGATGTGTGTCCAAAAGAGTTGTAGAGTTGTAGAATCTTAAAAGTTGGGAAAGACCACCAAGATGAAGCCCATCCAACAACCCATCCCCATCGTTTCCACTCATAGGATCATTAAGGTTGGAAAAAATCTTCAGGATTAATCAGTCCAGCCATCAACTCATTCCCACCTGTGGGATCCCACAGGGTCGTTGAATCATTAGGGCTGGAAAAGACCTCCAAGGTCATCCAATCCAACTGCCAACCCATCACCACCATGCCTGCTAAGCCA